ATTTCTGTACAAATCCCATGCAAGTTCTAATTTCTTTAAATAATCAACAATTTTTTCGGCTTCGAAGCATCGTTCAACGTCTCCAACTTGGTTGACAAGTCTTGAGGGGTGGGATAAATATCCCGCCAAGGAATGTCGTCTTTGTGTAATCCGTTCGGCTTTACGGCCTTCGAAATCTTTCATATTTTCTTGAATAATTCTCTTACCTCTTCGGGATCCAAGATCCAACTTTCGCTCAAGTTGTCTCCCATATTCAGACGGTCCTTTTATCATGTTTTCAAGTTGTTTTTCTAATTCGAGGATTCTTTCATGTTGTTGTTCGATGGTCAAGTTTGGGTTTCCTTCGGCATTCATCTTTTGCTTTCTTTCTCAATCAGTTCGTTCAGATTTGACGATATGTCGAATTTTGTAGTGGTTCTAGATTATCCCGAGGACTATAGTCAAGATGCGTGACGTTCAAGTTCTAGATTATCAGTTTATTCAGAGTTCAGTCAGTCAATGATTTCACAATTCCACGCTACACGATTAATTTCACGAGTTCAGGTTTTCACGAGTTCAGGTTTTCACGAGTTCAGGTTTTCACGAGTTCAGGTTTTCACGAGTTCAGGTTTTCACGATTCGCTAGAATGACAATTGCAAAACCTTATATGAGAATATATTCTGTCCAAGAAAAACGGAATCAATATACTTACACATATGTGCTGTCCTGAAGATAAGATCATTCGGATTCATTTTTTAAGAACCACAACAACTTGTCTACTCTTCCCTATAACAACTCTGTCCCATTCCCACGAGCTCCTTCTCTCTCTCTCTCTCTCTTCCACAGGAAACCCACTTCTATCATGCATAAGTTATAACGTGTGTAAAGTTGTGTGTGTGTGCAGGTCCATGTAAATGTGTGCAAATGTGAATGTGTGTGTAAGTGTGTGTGAGTGTGTGTAAGTGTGTGTAAGTGTGTTTAAGTGTGTGTAATGTTTGTAAGTGTGTGATGTGTGTAAGTGTGTTTAAGTGTGTGTGTATGTGTGTAGGTGTGTATACATGTGTGTAAGTTTGTGTGTATGTGCGTGGGTGTGTAAGTGTGTGTAAGTATGTGTAAATGTTTGTAACTGTGTGTAAAGGTGTGTGTGTGTGTGTGTAA